TTGCTAAAGTTGGCATGTGCAAAGCTGAAGACTTGTATACAGAAAGAGAAACACGGTTGTGTTAATTGTACCAAAGTGTGATTGAAGTTAGTATAGTTAAGTGTTCTCATAATGAGGATGGGTGGTAAATGTGTAAGTTTCAGAAGCAGAGGTAATAATGAGGCGAAATAAAAGCTGTTATGATTTATGTGACTACCTAAAGTTTTGGAAACCTAGCTGGAGAATGCATGGGGCGATATGACCTACCTCCCTCATAGACCTCCGTCATGACACACCACATATGAAATTGATACATCATTATTGATCTAGGTCAGCTCTGCCTTTCATTAAGAGATGTTGAAATTGGGCTACAAGACCTGGTCTGAGTTAGGAAAGGAAGTAGAACAATTTTTGTTCTGTTTGTTTTCCTATGTGTTTACTTTAACTTGATACTGCCCCTTTGTGTCCTCTTATTTTTCTGTCATGTGTAATGTTTTAAAAGAACAAAGACTGCAGCCAAACTATACCCACTTTTCCATTAAGATTAGACATCTGAGTACCTGTTACATTAGCAATTTGTCTACACATCATAATTGTATTTGTAAACTAGCTTACACACCTGTCTTGTGTTATGTGATAGCTTCATTTGTATTATTATGAGCCCTCATTTATACTTAATTGATGTTTCCACCTATACCTGTCTCTAGTGTTTTAGGCTCTGTTTTAGCACTTCACTTGCTATAGGGTTACACAGACCCACTCTGCAAGAGACTGACCAGGTTCTAGAAGCTAGCAATAATCAGTTTCTGTTTTTGGTTTAGCTAAGGAATACTGGTTTACTAATTAATAGTTTTGGTAAATGGCAGAGTTAGACTGGGAAGACAGAATGGTAAAGCAAAAGAAAATAAATAGGATGTCAAAAATTCAAGTGTTATAGATCAAAGGAGAGTCCAGGAGGCTGCACTAAAGTACGTATCTACTTTATTGTATAGAAAAGCAGCTTAAAAACACCATAGTGTATGCCAGTGGGGGAAAAAAGGTTTGTGCATTTCACGCCAACCTCAGCGCTTAATCAGGCATGAAACACGTGAACCTCTTTTCCCCCACTGGCATACAGTATGGTGTTTTTAAGCTGCTTTTCTATGCGATAAAGTGGATATGTGCTTTAGTGCAGCCTCCCAGACTTTCCTTTGATCTATAGCACAGGAGTGCGAACTAGGCCAGCACACATGCTGAAGGAGTGTGGGAGTGGTGAGCTTACCTGGAGCAGTGTTACCTTCTTTCTCTAAAATGAAAGTGGTTGTAAAGGGTTAAGGTTTTTTTCTTTCATGTATTCAATGTATGAAGATAAAAAACCTTCAACGTGCAGCCACCCCCCCAAATACTTACCTGAGCCCAATCTCAATCCTAGATGTGCACAAGAGCAGCAGCTTTCCTGAGTCTCTCTCCTCATTGGCTGAGACACAGAATCGGGAGCCATTGGCACCCGCTGTTTTCCATTACAGCCAGTTAGGAGGGAGCTGGGGGGGTGGGACTGAGCCACACTCTGTGTGTCCCATAGACACACAGAGGTGGCTTGGAACCGAGCACACGCGAATGCAAGCTGCTTGCTCTGGGGGCACTCAGCAAGGGGGAAGCGCCAAAAGCGCTGCTGGGGACTCAAGAAGAGGAGGATCAGAGTTGCTCTGTGCAAAAGTATTGTTTGTTTTTGTTCATCATCTTTAAAATAATAAACATTTAAAACCACTTTAGAGGTTGTGGGATGCCAGTTTGACGGGTAGATCATATCAATAACTGATATTGGTTTTGGATAGATTCAGGGAGTTCTTCCCAGTTTAGGCTTGTTTTACATCGGTTCAATCTGGGGCATTCCATAATGCATGTGTGTTTCTTGTGTGTGTTAAGTTGGCCCAATCAAATTAATAACCTGCCAATGCACCAGAACAGTCAAAAGATTGTCAATGTGCACCATTTTTTCCAATTCAGCACACCAAAAAGCATGGTAGCGCATTACCCACTGCTGTGGTGCACACAATGCATGTGTGTTGGTGAGCCATTGAAAACTACATGGCAGAATATTATCAACAGGAAACAAACACTAGAGAAAAAACTTTTTTGGTTTATAAACATAGGAGCAGACATCTTGTGGAGTCTGCTTCTAGCACCCAACCACACCAAAGTGCAGAGCACCTTAATGCACATTACCATGTTCTGAGGCATATTGCATTTAGACCTCGTTTACATAGAGTGTATGAATCTGTACCCTGTGTGAGAGCGTTGTATTCCTGCACAAGTGTTCTGTGCATCCCCATGTATGCAGTCCCATTGCTGTCTATTGGGATGCAGTGGCTGCATGGACTGCTCCCAATGTGACATTTGAACAGGTGTAGTCTTTCACTCAATATCAGTCCATGGTTTAATTTTGTGATTAGGTTGGATCACCATCTGAACTTTATATGTTCTCCATTTGGCGCATTTTTTTTTGCACACTCAGATTTTTATATAAACGGCCGGACGGTGGCAGTGCAGGGGTGGGTGGCCATTTATAAATGGCCTCCCCGCCCCTGCTTGTGCGCGCTTCCTGGGATCACGCAGCACCACGATCCGGTGCCCGCTGTGTGCTCTGGACACAGTGAAACGCCGATCATCGTACAGGACCTCTGTGCGAGGTCCCGATCATGTGATCACTGATTGCCCAATCAGTGATCACATGCAGAGTAGTAAGCAAGATGTCACTTCTGACATCATTGCTTACTACACGTGAAATCTGTGAATGATCACAGAGATCACATGGTACAGGGCTATTCACAACTGCCCTGTACCATGTGACAAGCTGTGACCAATCACAGCTCTCACAGTGTTTCTCAATGGCTGCAAGAATGCAGCCAGAGAGGAGGAGAAATGATTGCTTTTACACCCATAAAGGCTGTAAAAGCAATCAGTGTAAAAAAAAAAAAAAAAAAAATCTTCATCACCCCCCCAGAAGTAGTACAGTGTCACCATGGTGACACTGTACTGCTAGGGTGACAGTATGTAAAAAAAAAAAAAAAATAAAAATGTAAAAAAAAGTTTAAAAACTATAATTTTTGGCTATAAACTAATTTGGGTTATTTTTTTACTAAAAAGATAATAGAATAAATTTTGGCCAAGATTTATGCTGAAATATAATTTTATTTGTAAAACACTTTTTTCAAATTTTTGGACTTTTTCATTTACATAGCAAAAAAAATAAAAATGCCAGTGTTGAATAAATACCACCAAAATAAAGCTTTATCTGTCTCAAAAAAATGCTAAACAATTCATATGGGTACAGTGTTGCATGACCGCGCAATTGTCATTCAAAATTTGATAGCACTGAAAGCTGAAAATTGGCCTGGACAGGAAGGGGGTAAAAGTGTCCGGACTGGAAGTGGTTAAAAATGTTTGCCTAACTATAGCAAGATAAACAGTGTTTCTTTATCATACATCACATGACACAAAGCAGGCCGTAATAATGTCTATGTGGGTTATATGCCACCTATAGGTGAATGGACACTGGCCGACCAATCAAAATCAAACAGGAATTACTCCTTTTTTTTGCCAGTGTCTGTAAGGTGGATGGTCACTGAATATGTGCTAGATGTGCTCGTTGAAGCAAACTGGGAGGTCTGAAGCAATTTTACTGAGAGTTAAGGGCCTCAGTCGGATCGATTCGAAAAGCTGTCAGCCAAAATAGATGGTATCCGAGCCTCGCTGGATATGGAGAAGAATCCTTAGGGTTTTGTTTGTAATGCGCCTTTACAGTGCTGGACCTCGTGTTTTCAGAACCCTGTGCAGTTTGATCTGACCAAGGTGCTTCCGGCAGGGTGCTATACGGAGTCCTTGAAGGACATTAAGATAAGGCCCGCCATGATGGTTGAAAGTTGGTCCCTGACTAAAAGTTCAGGGGCCTGCGGCAGGTTTGGTAAGTGGAACACGTATATACACTATACTGCCAAAAGTATTGGGACACCCCTTCAAATCATTGGGTTCAGGTGTTCCAATCACCTCCATGGTCACAGGTGTATTAAATCAAGCACCTAGGCATGCAGACTGCTTCTACAAACATTTGTGAAATAATAGTTCGCTCTCAGGAGCTCAGTGAATTCAAGCGTGGTACCGTGATAGGTTGCCACCTGTGCAATAAGTTCATCCGTGAAAATTCCTTGCTACTAAATATTCCACGGTCAACTGCTAGTGGTATTATAACAAAGTGGAAGCAACTGGGAACAACAGCAACTCGTAAAATGACAGAGCAGGGTCAGCACATGCTAAAGCGCACAGTGTGCAGAAGTTTCAGGGCCAGGATCAGAAGAAACCCTGTGTGAAGCTGAAACGTGTGGGGGCATCTTGGGCTATCTGCCACCAAGCGTCGATTGCTCAGGTTTGCAAAGCTGCTACAGGGTCTTCTGTTCATACATTCACAAGGTTTTACCAGATGATGTCAGAGCCACGGAGGATTCTGCCTTTGGCCACAGTGTTTTACGAACAGCTGAATAGCTCCTTTTGGGATGTTGATGGTTATTGTGATGTCACCAACCTCTCAAGGTTATTGCTTTGGGATATCCCACATAGTCGTTAATATGGCCTGCTCTGTGTCCTGTGATGTATGATAAAGAAGATTGGATTTTTTTCTACATACTTACCTATAAAATCCATTTCTTGGAGTACATCACGGGACACAGAGGTCCCTCCCCTCTTTCTATATATTCATTGCTTGCTACAAAAACTGAGTACTTCATATGTAGCAGGGGTTATATGGGGGAGGACTTCCTGCTTGATTGGCCGGCCAGTGTCCATTCACCTGTAGGTGGCATATAACCCACATAGCCATTATTATGGCCTGCTCTGTGTCCTGTGATTTACTCCCAAGAAATGGATTTTACAGGTAAGTATGTAGAAAAAATCCAATTATTTTGCAAGAATATGAGGGTGTTGAAGAACATTATGTGTATTTGTTGTACAAATTTATCATTATAAATGCATTTTTTTTTTTTTTGCAGAACCTGCATCACCGTGGGGTTGTAAACCTGGAGTGTATGTTTGAGACTCCAGAAAGAGTTTTTGTAGTAATGGAAAAGTTGCATGGTGATATGCTTGAGATGATCCTATCTAGTGAAAAGGGAAGGTTACCTGAGCGTATCACCAAATTCCTGGTTACACAGGTTAGTATAAGATTATGCTGTAGTCATATCCTGAAAAGCGCATAAAGAGTTTCTGAAACACAAACATCTGTTTCTTTTAAGATCTTGGTAGCACTGCGACACCTTCACTTCAAAAATATTGTCCACTGTGACCTGAAACCGGAAAATGTGCTGCTTGCTTCAGCAGATCCCTTTCCTCAGGTAAATTGCAAAATTTCTTTTGTAGAAGTGTGAAACAAGATGAGCTTACAAGCTTCGAAAACCAACCAAACTAAGGCCTTATTCACATGGGTGGAAATACGCAGGATTGCACTAACAGAAGCTGGCAGCAAGACCTGTATGCTGTGCGCATGTAAATGTTTCTCTAAGGTTTATGTGCATACAAGCGTATTGCATAAATGGACACTATTGATTGCTAGGATGCTAGCAGTGAAGGACACATATTGGTCCTAAATGAGTTATCCATGCACAGAATGACAGGCTTTGAAGGATGACTGAAGGACGGTCATTTTCTGCATGCATGGTTGCCACATGAATGACTCAAGGCCATATGTAAACCTCAATAGTGTGTAACCAGTAGTGCTGCTTATTACACATTATTATTTACATCGGCCCTGTGTAGTGGCTGTGGCCAATAGGGCCATCAGCCACCTAGCTCCAAAGGACAATAGGCGGCTCAAGCTGCCTGCCTCTTAAATCCTGCTATCTTGCAGTCTTTGTTACCATGAGGCAGGCAACTCCAGTAGAGTGCGTTTGTGATGTACGCTATAGCCATGTAAGTTACACAACTGTTTACATGCATATAGTGTCAATTCATAAAGTCCTCTCCAAACTTTAGATTTGGGCGTTTAAGGCTACTGTAGATTATGGATCTAAAAACTGTCATGTGCATGGACTCAATAGATCTTGTTCTTGGTTATTTCTGCTACACCAATCCTCCTTATCAATAAAATAACTCTGCCAGGAACATCAGTGTGTGTGTGTGAACTAATATCCCCAAATTACTGACACCTTTAATTATCCATTTAATTTATTTCCCTGCATCTCAAGAAGCCCGTAGATTCTAAGTGCACCCTTTACATGGGGCCTTGAATTATGCTGTACTTGAAGATCGGCCATGCTCCCACCCTTTAGTTTAAGGACTCGTTGTCATGGGAAGTAAGAATCCATACCCAATGTGAGGACTGTTTACCCCTCACACATGGTATGGATTCATACGCTTTGTGTGAATGAGGCCTAAAATGCCAGAGCCTCAGTGTTCAGTAGGATGATGAAAGCATGGCTTAAGCCTGCAGTAATGAACCAGGGCTTAACTTGGGCACAGGTTGACACCTGTGCTGATTGTGTGGTTGGTCAGCTGGGTATACCCAAACAATCTCTTAGTAACTTCATCTTTTCATTCTTGTGCTATACACTGTTTGTAAATCTTCAGTTTAACTCAAAGTTGTAACTGACACAATTTCACACCTCAGGTTAAGCTGTGTGATTTTGGCTTTGCACGTATCATTGGAGAGAAGTCCTTCCGACGCTCAGTGGTTGGGACTCCAGCTTATTTGGCCCCAGAAGTTCTGAGAAACCGAGGCTACAACAGATCTCTGGATATGTGGTCTGTGGGGGTAATCATTTATGTCAGCTTGAGTGGAACGTTCCCCTTTAATGAGGATGAAGATATTCATGACCAGATTCAGAATGCAGCCTTCATGTACCCCCCAAATCCCTGGAGAGAGACCTCTTCTGATGGTGAGCATCTTTCACAAAACAAAATCAAAGCTTGTGTACACTGCTTACTCCATTCATTCCTGTAACTAGAAAGAGTTTGAATTGAACCTGCATATGTACTAAAGACATAGAACAGTGTAAGTTAAAATGAACAAACCAAATTAAAAGAAGTAATCGTGTAAATAGAAAAAAATAAAAATAATCAGGAAAGTAATAGTTAAAAGAAAAGAAAAAAGTCAGACAGCCAGTCACAAAATAATGCATGCATGGTACTCTTTTTGAGGTAGTTGTATATAGGAGGAGACTGAGAATTCTTGACCTGTACAGTTTTACATGGATCTTTGCCTTGTCCAGATAGCCACTGTCTGTTTTACTTTTCTAGCCATTGACCTCATTAATAACCTGCTGCAAGTAAAGATGAGGAAACGCTACAGTGTGGACAAAACCCTCAACCATACCTGGTTACAGGTGAGTGTACCATGAATAGCACATTAAACCATTTACAGTATTTTGTGTTTAACAAAGCACAAATTATGTGTTTCTGCTGAGCTTCAGAGTAAATTCCCTGAAGCCACATTTACAGTAGGTAAAATAATTATTTGATTCCCTACAGATTTTGTAAGTTTTGCCCACCCACTAAAATAAAATATCTTTAATTTCTATCATAGGTGTATTTTAAATGATAGAGACAGAATATCAACCAGAAATCCAGAAAAAACACATGATACATGTAGTAAATTGAGTTGCAGTTCAGTGAGTAAAATAAGCATTTGATCCCCAATCAACCAACAATAATTTTGGCTCCCACACACACGCTATGTGCTCATGTGGTACACAGATTAGTCCTGTGAATTTAATAAGGGGCTCCTAATGACAACGTATGTGTATAAGACACCTGTCCATAGAATCTTTTTTCCATTCAAACTTCACCAACATGGGCAAGACCAAAGAGCTGTCAAGGTACGCCAGGCATAGTAGACCTGTACAAGGCTGGAATGGGCTACAAGACCATCAGCAATAAACTTGGTGAGGAGACAACTTTTTGAGCGATTATCCGCAAATGGAAGAAATACAAAATAACCATCAATCGCCCTCAGTCTGGAACTCCATGTAAGATTTTGCCTCATGGGGTAAGGATGATAATGAGAAAAGTGAGGAATCAGCCCACAACTACAGAAGAGGAGCTTGTGAATGATCTCAAGGCAGTCACCAAACCACAGGCACCAAACAAACCATTTGTAACACAATTCAACGCCATGGATTGAAATACTGCAGCGTCCGCAAGGTCCCTCTCCTCAAGAAGGCACACGTACAAGCTCATCTGGAGTTTGCCAATTAACATCTAAATGATACAGAGAAGGATTGGGAGAAAGTGCTTTGGTCAGATGAGATCAAAATTGAGCTCTTTGGCATTAACTCGACTCGCCATGTTTGGAGGATAAAAAAATGACTTTAAGAACACCATCTCTACAGTCAAGCACAGAGGTGGAAACGTTATGCTTTGGGGCTGTTTCTCTGCTAAAGGTACAAGCTGATTTTGCTGCATTGAGGGGCCAATAGATGGGGCCATATATTGTAAAATCTTGGATGAGAATCTTATTCCCAGCCAGAACACTGAAGATGAGTTGTGGATGGGTCTTCCAGCATGACAGTGACCCAAAACATACCTCCAACAAAGGAGTGGTTCAAGAAGAAGCACATTAAGGTCATGGAGTGGCCTAGCTAGTCTCCAGACCTTAATCCTATAGAACATTTATGGAGGGAGCTGAAACTTTGAGTTGCCATGCGACAGCCAATAAACTTTAAGGATTTAGAGAAGATCTGTAAAGCATAGTGGACCATAATCCCTCCTGAGATGTGTGCAAACCTGGTAACCAACTACAAGAAACATCTTACCTCTGTGCTTGCCAACAAGGGTTTCTCCACTAAGTACTAAGTCATGTTTTGTTGGGGATCAAATACTTATTTTACTCACTGAACTGCAACTCAATTTATAACATTTGTATCGTGTTTTTTGGGGGATTTTTGGTTTATATTCTGTCTCTTTCATTTAAAATACACCTATGATAAAAATTATAGACCCTTCATTTCTTTTTAAGTGGGCAAACGTACAAAATTTGCAGGGGAACAAATAATTCTATTCCCCACTGTATAAGTAATTATTTAACATAACTGGATACATGTGTTGTTTTCTGTGATTTGTAAAATAGAGGATGGTAAGTATTTTACCAGGTGAACTGCACTCAGGGGGTGGGCAAGTTACTTAAAGGACAACTTCTCTAAAGGGGCTTTTGTCCTTTAAAGTGTCACTAAATTAAAATAAATAAAACCCTCCCTAAAAAGAATGCTATGCCTGTGCCATTTGTTTACCTAGAAAATCCTTATTTTTAAATAACTCACCCTGCAGGCACCAATAGTGTTGACCAATGATCTGCAGGCTCACAGAGCCTCTGCACCATTGCCACACACACTGTACATGCTCCTCTCCTTTAATGTAAGTAAACCATATCTATAATTGCCCTATTGTGAAGGTGAAGCTAAGTTGCAGCAAGTCACATGTCCTGTGATGTCACCTTTGCAATGCAGGGGGAGGGAGTGCCTGAAAAAACTAAGAGAATTGGAACTGCCAGTCAAGGATCTGAACCCAAAGGCATTGGTGATTATATTAGAACATTGATGAAAAGTTTCAATCCTCTTTGCAATGCCTAGGAAGGGAGTGTTTGGAAAAGTTAAAGTGATGTCAAAGGACATGTAGCCTGCTCCAGTTTAGCACCACCCGCAGCCTGGGCCATGCTGCAGGAGAAAGGGGGAGAAAGAATCACCTGACCACCTCTTTAGAAGTGCCACAAAGAAAATTGTCAAAGTATGGACAAAGTAAATCATTGGCTAATAGTGTCCCTATCCTTTAGATGTGTAGTCAGTAAAGTACGTCCTGCTAGATCACTTCAGGCTGGTGCCCCTTTTGCAGATATAACCATGTAAAACATTAAAAATAAATGCCTGTACTATTTAAAATGCAATAATACACTGTCTTGTCTTGTTCTGCATATGCTCAGTTGCTCTCTTTATTTAGGCACTGTGCAAAAAATATAGAGACCGATCTTCTGACAGCCTAAAGATTTGCTGCTGCTCAGGGGCTCTGGGTTTTAGTAAAATGGCAGCCTCCAGCAAGAAGAAGCCGGAATAATGCTGGAGGCAATTTACAACACTCATTTTGGTGCCATATTTATCATGTTATGTATGTTCCTTGTTAAAGAATGTTATTTTTCAACAAATTGTTATGGGTAAAGTTCCGCTTTAAGCTGTGAGGCAAAAGGGTGAAGCCTTCCCAAATCTTTACAGCTCTGGCTTATCTGGTAAAGTTACCAATTTAAACATTGCTGACAGGAATGATCAGAGTGTCTGGCAGCATGTGCAGCTACCCATAGGCCTGCATTAAGGATGACTGCTATCTCACATTTCAGATAAACGAACAGGATTTTTGTGTGTGAGGTTCTGTTTTGTAGTATATTACCAATTTTTGGATGCAGCTTTTTAATTTGTTTAATTAAATCTTTTTGGCTTTAGGATTACCAGACATGGCTGGATCTGCGTGAACTGGAGTGCAAGATAGGGGAGCGCTACATCACCCATGAAAGTGATGACCCCCGCTGGGAGGCATATGCTGCAGAGCACTGTATCCAGTACCCTCCCCACCTCCTTCCTCAACCATCCATTGAACCTGAGGATGCAGAGATGAGAGCTTTGGGGGAGAGAGTCAGCATTCTCTGACATTGCTAAACTGTTTCACACTATGTTCCCCTCCAATAAAAGAGAACAATAGGGAAAGGAGATGAAAAACAGATGTTAGATATTGAATGTACAGTATTCATCAATCCATTCTGGCTGTGTGCATCACTCTAGAAGTCTTTAAAATACCTCTGGGCTGTATCCCTCTCACCAACCTCTCTAATACATTCTTTCACAAGAGCCTAATGGGGGACAGCAGTGCAGAAGGGGCATCCCTTAGAAGCTGAGGACACTTGGAGCCTTATGGAATAGAAAGCATTGTAGGCACCATTCCATTTTTTGTGATTTCATTACATTGTAAGCTCTGAGCTGATTGTGAAACCTGCAATGCATTGTGGTCCAGCTCAGTTCGACTGCATTTTAATGTTTGATCAGAAAAATTCATTTTACCACATTGAATAAAATACAGATCATCTCTCTGTTCACACAACCACGCCTCAAATTTACATTAAAATGATTGGGAAATGGTACATTTCTCATGAAAACAAAAGGGAACCAAACCCTGTCTGTTTTATTGATGGGGGAATAGAGCTGCAGTCGGCTGGGTCTATTTTCTAGTCATTCCATAATGTGTTGCAGGCACAATCTACAGCTCTTGGGTTAATCCTGTTGGTCACATATGTATGTCTTTTTTTTTTTTTTTTTTATTGTAAACTCCAGAGGAAGCTGTGTGTTAGTGGTATTTAATTTGTAGCCTGAAGGATGACCTAAAAGTTCTTGTTTGCAAGGTGAGATGATGTGTGAGGTCAGCAGGTCACAGGAAGGGCCCAGCGAACATCATAGACCAGGGTTGGCTGAGCAGAGCAATGAAGATGAGATATTTCGAGGCTCTGTATAATTGGGTGCCCAGCAGTTGTGTCTTGTAAACCACAACGTGTATGGCTCACTCTACTGACAGAATTTATCAAAGACCAGTGCTCTGTTTCAGGGCATTTAAATTGAGATTTTTCTGGCTTCACCTCACGTAGCCCTTGGTTTGGTTTTTGTCCTCAGTTTTGCTTAATTATATAAAAAGAAAGTTACTAATATTTTTTCTAAAGGTCAAATACAGTGTATTTAGCATCTTTTCTCAGTATGTTCCATATTATACTCCCTCTGGCAGATTTTAGACTATATTCTTACATTTCTATCCTAAATAAAACCAAAATACTGTGTTATTACTTTTTTCCTATGTATTTTGTGTATTGAATCTTTTTGTTGGGCTGCATACACACAAGAACCTTTTGTAAGCTTTTCGGTAGACTGGTGTGGTACGGTGAGGAGATCAGACTATGCTGTGCATTGTGTGCATTGCACTCCACTGATGGCCAGAGGATTTGAATGATGCTGGAGAAAGCTGTTTGCAGTATGTCCTGTTTTTCCTATTTGTGCATTTAGAAAAATTAGATATACTGCCACCTGTAGGAGAATTGGATGGACACTGGCCCAAAAAAAAAAATACAACTGTTCGTATAAACCCTCCCACTTCCATCATGCTTCAATTACTTTCTAGTATCCGAGAAGAATTGGACCGTTTTTCTTTTCCTTCTATCAAGATGTTTTTTCTTCAAATAAATTTCTATGTTCACTGCAGAGCCGAGAGACTGGTGCGCTGCCAGTCTCTGGAGATTATCTTTCGGGGCTGAGGCTATGGAGTCTAGTGCTATAACAAAATAAATGTCACAAGCACTTCAGGAAAAAATGACTGCAACACCTCTTGAAATGTGTGCAGTTTTCCTCTGTATCTCCCACCCTCGAGTGAAAGTACCCCTTACTCCCTGTGAGGGTCCCAGAGCAGTCCTCTTCTCTACTGCCTACAGTGAGTTGGTTACAGAAGGTCATCTAACCTCCCCTGCAGTTGGGTTTCTGTACCATTGAGGAATATCTGACTTTTCCATACAGCACTATGGCGGATCATAAACACAAGGGCGAGACAGGCGGACATTTCCATCTTACAGTCCAATCAACATGTTCTTCAAAGTCTTCTTTACCTCTGTCTGGGTGGTTCCCCTTTGCCCTAACTAGAGCAGAATTTCCTATATCTGCATCAGATTTATTAAAAAAAAAAAAAAAAAAAAAAAAAACCTCATTGCATTCTCTACAGCTGGTTTTGTATAGTGACATGTCCTGTCAAGCTGTCATCTTCCCTCCCCCCACAAGGGGCTGAGCAATATTGTATTGAAGATGTGTTTGTTAACCTGTTGGCGCCCACCATACGCAAATATTTGGCCTCTTGGCAGCTGGGCCTTGACACCGAGTGGCTGCATATTTGCGTACCAAAAAAATCCACACTACTTGTGATCGGGACCTTTCCGATCATGTGACCGCTGTGACAGCCAATCACAGCAGTCACATTACCCTAAACCCCAGCCTGGTTAGGGCAAAGGGGAACCACTCCCAGTGTCCCAAACCCCTTTAACAGCCGGGAGGTGCCAGCACCAGTCTGTTAAAAGTGGATCTGGTCATTTCTTGTCTTAACAAAACCCTAAGGATAAAACAATAATCAACCACGATTGCGCTTCCTACAAACCAAATTTAAATGTGGAGCTGCTCGTTGGCAAGCTTGAAAACATAAACATAGAATACCGTGCTCCCAAATCCCTTACAATTAAATAACCAGTGCTTAAAATCAGTTGCCAACACAATCTGTGTGCAATATTTACATACGTATCACAAACATCTGACACCTATATAAATTATGTGCAACAATGAAATATTTTGCTGAGAAATGATTTTTAGCACTGTTAATTGTAAGGGATTTAGGGAGCACGGTATTCTTTGTTTATATAAAACCCTAAGCCTTCCTGTTGTAGACATTCTGGCTGGAAATCCTTTCCAAGTTCTTCTTTTTCCTGGAACACCCTGCTTTACAACCTGCCATTGCTGTTTGACAGACTCTACGGGTCTGGACTAAGGACATGTTCACGACACCTGAGATGATCCCTAACTGTTAGGTTTTGCAACCATTTGAACTCATGCTTATTGCCCTCCACTGCTGTGTTGATGGGCTTGTGAATCTGGTAAATCTTATATCCAGAATGAGTCTCCTTGCTGTACTTATATGGAGAACTCTTTGGCTAAAATGGTGGACTGCTGAACAACAATGTAATGAAAATGCTGTCTTATGAGTGAGAATTACTCTTGGGTGCTTCCCTGGATAACTGTAGTAAAGATATCACTGGAGTGAAGGGTACCCTTTAATACCAAAAAAAGAAAAATATTACTCAAGCTGGCAAAATTTCTTGCTTTGGCATGAAAACATTTTTTGTTTCACTCAGGCCTTATAAGCCCAAATTTAAGAATGGGACTACATTATCTTACAGACCTTGGATGCCAAAACCTTTCAGACCTGTGAGCAAATCCTTACACTAAGGGCACACCCACACTTCCCGTGGGGGGTCTGCTTTTGTAACCACATACTCAAAAATGATACTGGAAACGCAAGTAAGGAGTAAAATACCTAGTGTCCAGGGGCTACACACTGGAATTTCAGATTTTTTTCTCCAATCGTTTTAGTCTCACCAATCAAAGTCCCAGAAGCAATACGCAAACCAGCAAGGAATTACTGCTCCAGTTCCAGAACAAGAAAAGTTTTAAGGGTTCTCTGAAAACCTGTTTGCCCTCCCTAAAGCAGAAGTGGGTAATTCACATTATTTTGGACCTGAATGGGCTCCATGCTTTTAATCAAGTGAAAATATTTCGTATGGAATCTACAATCCCAATTACAAAAAAATTGGGATGCTGTGTAAAATCTACAGAAAAACAGAATGCAAGAATTTGTAAATATTAAACTCATATTTTATTCACAAAAGAAAACAGAAAACATCAAATCTTTAAACTGAGAAAATGTACCATTTTAATACAAAAAAAAAAAAGGGTGATATTAAAATTGATGGCAGTAACACAACTAAAAAGTTGGTACAGGGCAACTGGCCTCTGTGGACATCAAGAATGAAGAAAGCCTAAATGAAATTTGGTTTAGACTTAACCTGTTTCCCCTTCACAAAAAAAAAGGTTCTCAAAAAATGTTTACGTACTCAACTAATGCACCATCCAACAACAACTTTATTAATAAAACATTTACAAAACAAGACCGATTTATGCAGATTACCCAGCTGCATCAGAGGCAAAGCTAAGCAAATTGACTTGCACCATGCTTATATTTAAAATGGCTGCTAAAATTCAACCATGCATGCGCAGTGAGCCATGACATCACGCATCGCCGCGCACACTCATCAGACATGGTGGGCATGACCATAGCATAACACGCATTCACACACTGCTGAGCAGTTGGAGTTTGGCAGCTATTTTAACCTCCCTAGCGGTCTGATTATGTCAGTATTTCTGTGCTCAAAGCTTTTTTTTGCATGGAAATATGTATTTTTTTTTTTTATTGTAGGCCTGTAATTTTTAGGAATAACGCACTGAAATCTGTCAGAACAAGAGTCTAGTAAACATCCCGGGTATGTTAAAATTTGAAACACGAAATCATAAATTATAATTTAATAAATAATCATAAAAAATAATATAATACATTTAATTCAATAATATAATCAAACCAAAAACACTGAAATTTTAAATATAGCGCCAAGTTCGCACATCGCTGAGCAAAGTTGCAAAATCGTTTTCAGTGTCTGATGGTGAATTTCCCCACGAATCATCACTCAATTCTGCAAGTGGTTCTAATTTACTATCGCTGTTCTCTAGCCGGTCTAAAACCGCTTTTGACCTAAAGGGACGCTTTTTGGATGCCATGGACATTTCTCAGTTTCCAGGCGGAAAGAACGGTAAAAATGCAGGCAGGGCACAGGACAAAGCTCTAGGGACAAAATGTATGTGAAATGGTTTGATACAGTAATGTTATACTATGTGATTTTAGTGTATTTAGTGAATGTCACTTTTTCACATTTTTAAATTTCCCACCATTCCATCCCCGTACGTCCTGACGTTGCAGGGAACGGAACCCAGAAGACAGATGCCGGCATCGGCCGGAGGACATTGCT